TATAAATCAACAAATGTTAAAAATTTGCTGAACTTTTGAATTGCCTTATTTAGGAATTGTAAACATTTAAATTGTTTTTTTTTAAGTTGAAACTATGTCCATGTCCATTGAATCTGTCCCCTAACATTATTAAATTAAGTATTTAAAATAAAAGTCATGGGAGCTTTTTTTCTTAGAATTTTTTAATAAGTATGTTGTGCTCCAATTACTTAAATTCTTCCCACCTAGGACCTAGCTTGATCAAGAGTTTCTCAACATAAGACCAGATCATAGTCATGGGCCTACCATTATATCATAAATAATCAATGCAGTCATAGTCTGTCCTGTGAATTATTTTCTATTCATCTAAAAGTTCATTATCAACATCTTATTTGTTAACATTAAATAACATGTACTCATTATTCGTTTAATTGACCATTCAAAATAAACGCATTTGACACCACAGACTCTTGTATTTCATATAAGTTTGTACTTCCTCTACTCTCTTAACTGTTCTCATGACACAGTCACAAACACATGTTTCTTTTTCCAAATTTATTGAATCAATTAGACATAACATCATACTATATCAATTTACAATTTGACAAGAAAAAGGGGACAATGGAAGTAAATGGCCACATTGTGTTAACCCAGGGTCCGAGGGGATATCCAGTATACCAACCTAGCAGGTATAACGGGCAAACTGGTGGCCCGGCGTTGAGCGCCAGTACCAAAAATCCCAAACTATGAAAATACCACCCATTTGGGATTGGAAGAGTTTTCAAAATATCCGTTTACCCCGTTTCCCAGTGATTGCACCTGGTTGTTAGTACTTTACCATGTACTCCAGGACTAAGCCTCCCCTCCTGTGTGAAGAGGTGGAGTGGGCACCAAGACTGTCTAACTTGAGTGACCCCAATCTTTGACACACTTTTCCAAAACACATACGTACATATGTAAAAATTTGCTTTTTACAAACCGCCCTCTGTCTTAGATGACAGATGGGGGGAAACCCTAAGGCCAGATAATTTGAAAACCTCCCACTTATATCCCCCCAGACCCGACCCCCCTAACACAATGCGACGAATGAAGAAATTAAGGTCATAACTTGAATAAAACGTTTCTAAAGTATATAGATCGCAGCAAAAGTCATGTCTATGTCTCCATAAGTCATCTGCTTGGAAAAGGCACCCACGATCCATTGAATCACACACGGCTTTTTTTGGACTGCTCCTATTGAAGGTGAAAGTGTTGGGTCTGAAAGATAAAATTCTTACGGCAGATTATTGAATTTAAGGACATTTTAAAATTATATCTATTACATATATATCTATATATATATTATTACTTTATTGGGAAGGGTGGGAGGGGAAAATTTTGTTGTGCAGGTTACTGTGATTTCTCCAAACAACGGAAACGGAAATTGTGTGATATTAGATAGGTCGTACCAAGGAATGTTGCAACCAAATTAACTTGTACTTAGTATAACTATAAGCATACAATTAAATCACACTAGACTTTTTTCGTCAATTAAATGAGATTATTTAATATGTTAATAAAATAATCTGTCTTAATTGACCATTCAAAATAAACGCATTTGACACCACAGACTCTTGTATTTCATATAAGTTTGTACTTCCTCTTCTCTCTTAACTGTTCTCATGACACAGTCACAAACACATGTTTCTTTTTCCAAATTTATTCAATTAGACAAAACATCATACTATATCAATTTACAATTTGACAAGAAAAAAAGGACAATGGAAGTAAATGGCCACATTGTGTTAACCCAGGGTCCGAGGGGATATCCAGTATACCAACCTAGCAGGTATAACGGGCAAACTGGTGGCCCGGCGTTGAGCGCCAGTACCAAAAATCCCAAACTATGAAAATACCACCCATTTGGGATTGGAAGAGTTTTCAAAATATCCGTTTACCCCGTTTCCCAGTGATTGCACCTGGTTGTTAGTACTTTACCATGTACTCCAGGACTAAGCCTCCCCTCCTGTGTGAAGAGGTGGAGTGGGCACCAAGACTGTCTAACTTGAGTGACCCCAATCTTTGACACACTTTTCCAAAACACATACGTACATATGTAAAAATTTGCTTTTTACAAACCGCCCTCTGTCTTAGATGACAGATGGGGGGAAACCCTAAGGCCAGATAATTTGAAAACTTCCCACTTATATCCCCCCAGACCCGCCACAGACATCGATATGATGTTCCTCCACACCCTATGCACCGAAACCACCCATGTTTAATTCATTAATTGTTTTATTATAAGCACACCCGACTTAAGATTATTTAACTTCACCTGATTGCCCTCATCAGAGAGGTGTGTCCCGTCATAACAAAATAGACCTATGTTGTTGACTGATATGTTATCATGTAATATACCCCCCCAATTCAGTAATGAATTTGTTGACCTGCTTGTTTATTTTCCTGCGTTTTTTATCAATCTTGCGGCCACTTTTTTAATGGTGCACCATGCCAATATAAGCGATGATCAAAGGGACCCCCACCCGTTGTAAGGAGACTTCCTTGTTTATCTTTTCTTGTGCAATATTTGTTTGTTGGTGAATACTTTTTAGATTGTTTGCCTCCCTATAATCTCTGGCGCTCCGGTACTGCAATTTGAAACCCTGATTGAAACCATTTAAAATAACTGTTTTTTCTTTATAATAAATTATGTAGGTAGTGAGACAATATGTTAACATTAATAGTTTTTCCCAGTGTACAAATTGATGATACAAGACTAGAATTGTTTAGTGCTCTTGCAAGTGGATGCTGCATGTCCCCCATCACACAAATTGCATGCATGGTTGAACCTACAATTTGGGTAAAACCTGCATGATTTACCAGCATTATAATAATGACAATATTGGGTAGCATTAGCACTAGATGATAAATGGTTTTGTTGGGCTGAAATCATGTTATTTGTGTGATTGACTTTGCCTTGAGGGTTAACCCTATCTTGAGCCTGAGTTAGACTGTTGTTCGTGATATACAATAGCCACAGTTCGCTGTTTATTTGCCCCCAAGAAGACTGGGGGTTAGACACTTTGAGTAGGCGAAACTGTTCATCATACTTGAACCAACCTGTAGGTCGGGATGCTGCAATTCTTACATCCCGCATGTATTTTAATAGTTCCTGAGACCTTGTTCTATACTTTTCCAGCATAATACTTGTAAATATAATGAATGCAGATGTCCATTCTTCAATAGATAGGAAAGTGTTTGATTTTTGCTTGACAAGGCACATAGTGCCGTTGCGTATTTGAATATGATCTTGTGTATTTTCGTGGTCCACCAGTTCCCTAGCGGATTTTAAGAGCAGGGACAAATTTATGAATTGTCCCTCCCAAATTTTTGTTTTGAGCTTTAGAGGGACATGTGCATTGATCGGGTCAAAGGCGCAAGTGTTCAAAATTGGTTGATATTCTTGAATACTAAAAGTCGGTCCAACAAAATTTTCAGTGGGTGCCATTAGAATATCAGACTCACCAATTTCCTGGTTTGTAGTTATCCCGACCAATTCGTCTCCATGAGGCTGGCTCTGACTGGCCACATTGACGATGGCCCCCGCTGGTGTGGGAATTTGGTCGATGTTGCGTGTCAAGGCCATGTGGTCCTGTCCTTTCGCCCTCCCTCCGTTTTCTTCCCCTGCCCCTGGAAGGCGTTATGAAGCTCCGTGTATACTCTTTTCTCCCCCTCGTAGCCGTGCGAGTTCGTACAGGTGGCATATTTTCCGTAGTACCGCGGATGGCAGCCGATACTTCTCAATTTACGAAAATTTTGTTGTGCAGGTTACTGCGATTTCTCCAAACAACGGAAACGGAAATTGTGTGATATTAGATAGGTCGTACCAAGGAATGTTGCAACCAAATTAACTTGTACTTAGTATAACTATAAGCATACAATTAAATCACACTAGACTTTTTTCGTCAATTAAATGAGATTATTTAATATGTTAATAAAATAATCTGTCTTAAATGAAAAAAAGAGCTTCTAGTCATTTCAAGGTATGAAATAATTTCCCTCAACAACAGATACAGCTTCCAGCAGTTGATATTTTTAATTTTTTGGGTAACATTTAACTATATCTCACTCCAGTGCATTTGTAAAGGATTTTTATGACCTCAGAAAACATAACAATTGATTACACTTCAAAATATTTTCTCAATCCTTGGCAGGGATTGCCGAAAAAGCCGATGGTGAGAATTACTAGTGGTACATAGCCAAACTGGGAAATACCGGGAAATACAAAGTTTTAGAAATTATTTCAAATAAGTTATTTAATTTTATACAAAAATCAGAAATAAAATAATTATATAAACTTGAGATGAATAAAACTGTCATTTGTGCATTTAAAAAAAAAACACCTTAGTACATCACTATTTCAGGTTTCTTATCCATATGCATACTTTAGCAAAATATGTTTACCACATTGTAGTTTAAGAACAAAACTAAATATTCTTATTCACGTTTACTTTCAGTTAAGTATACTTTTAAAGTTCAACAACTTGACATCCTGTATTAGATGACGTTACGTTGCGTTTTCCCAAGGCGGTAAATATGCAACCGTATCACAAATGCTGAGCGAAAACTAATATGAAGTTTCCCCGTGCAGCCGAGGTTTGATTATACCTTTCTGAGTCCTTAACCTAGCTTCGTGGGTGTGTTCGAGCCCTATAATATTCTGCTGATATGACGTTATAAGGATTTTCATTCCATGTTTGAAGTGTTTCGATTTACGCAAAACATGCAAAACATGAACACAAAAATTGTCAATATACACTTAACACCAGATTTTGTAAAATGTAAGTAATAATTGCAAAAGAAAAAAAAACAATTCTTGCTGTTCCATATGACAGCCAAAACGCTTTCTCTTTTCTTTGTTTCCAACAGTTTATGCTTTAAATTTAAATCTTTTTTAAGGTGAGTGTTTTTGTAGATCATATAATATCCTCTATTCAGAAATATTATTAACAATGAACTTATCTTACTAAAATCTCACGTACCCCCAGATGATATCGATACAATCACTGCCAATCCAACGAAAATCACTGAAAAATAATCGGAATAAGGCGTTTTGTGCTGTATCCATATTTTTAACGGATCTCTCTCTCTCTCTCTCTCTCTCTCTCTCTCTCTCTCTCTCAGCCAATTTTTTCAAAAAAAAGTATCCATATGTTTTTTTTTTTTAGATTATTCATTAAACTGACCCTGTATGCCGCCTGCCATTTCAGTCAAATGATTAGTTCGTTCGCATTTGTTGGTTTAATCTGTTCTTGATGTCAAAAATGACCTCACTTTGCAGCTGCAAATGTAGGTTATCATTTTGTCTTCATGAAATGTACTCAGTCTTACGCAGAGATAAGAAAACAGTATGAATGTGCTTTAAAATAAATGCTCATTAGGTAGAATTTATAAAAAGGATATATAACATATTTAATCTTATTTCTCCTTAATAAATGAATTATTTCAAATGTAATAAATAAAATAACTCTTTCGTAAGATATTTTTTATGAGAAAACTAGGTACAGTTTTTCCCTGTAGATGTAATGACAATGCCGGTAGTTTTGGAAATATTTCCAGTCCGCAGTGTAACAATGCACATGATGTACATGATGTGACATTTGTTTACTTTGACCTCTGCCTTTGACCTCTGACCAACTCTTTTAAAATTTTCACCTTGCGTATACATAAAAAGGGAGTCGATCGCGTGTTGCAGTGGTTAGAGAGTCTGCTCTAGACCCTCGTTTTGAGGAGTTTATCCCTATCTCGCGGGTTCGAATCCAAATGTTTGAAATGGATAAACCGAAGATCTGTGTCACAGTAGGTGCTGGCCAAAAAAGACCCCTCCCCCTGCTTATTGCCGAGTATAAGACACAATTTACAGTCTCAATTGACATGTGAATAAAAAAAAATCTTGAGAAGGACGTTAAATAATATACAATCAATCAATCAATTCAACAGGGATATCAAGACGCTCAATATATCTCGTCTGATTTATTCCTGTATCAATACCATACTTTCTTATGACAATTTTTACATTGTGACATTCACGTTTGAAGTTTTATACTCTTTAGAAGTACTTTGCCATAACATATATACATAAAATGTTGGAAGAGTTGCTTGAATTTTAATTTTCACATTCTTAAGCCTGGAAACCGTTCATTTGATTCATTTACCTTGAGGTTTCCCCTTAAATTTTAATTGTTTGTTTTTGGACTGTCTTGTTTCACAAATATATTCATGGAAAACAAGTTCCTTCTTTACGTAACAATATTTTCATCTCTTGACCTTGAAATTTAATTTGCATTTCAGAAACTTAAGCACTCGCTTAAAACTGTCATACGAGGACATCAGTGTTTAAAAACATAACCTGTTTCCTTTGCTTTGGACGTGCATGATTTGTATTCCTATTTGATGAGATGTTAACAGTATATGTTCATTTTATTTGGTAATTCTGTTCTTTTTGGTCTCATTGGTATCTTTGATTTAATTTATCCACTGTATTTAAAACAAACAATTTTGATTTCAAACCGTTTAGAACCGTTTTTCATCAGCCATTGAAAGGAAGTCAATACTCCATGAATATTTTTCTGTTATATGCTGTATACAAGGTTATATTCGCCCCGTTTTTTTTTCGTCCTTTCATTCTTGCAAACAATATTGCCCCGTCTTAAATTCTCCCAGTTAGACTTTTGTTTAAACCTTTATACTGTATTCTTTAAATTCGCCCCGCTCTTAATTCGCCCAAACAGAGTAGGGGCGAATATAAAATGGGGGCGAAAATTTCCCTCAACATAATATTTAATTTTTTTTCTGATCTTTTCCCTTTGCTTTTGTCAGTTTTAATATGAGTTATATCAAAGACTTTTTGAAAAGTAGATAAAAATAGACAAACTCATTAAGCATAGTTTGAAATCGCAAACGAAAGAGCGGTCAGTGTGCATCTTACTGAGCAATAGTACAGATAACTTGACCTTTTTTGTACTTAAAATTTTAATGTTAAGATTAATAACTTGTACCTGATTGTTTGTTTTTTTTATTAATCATTCATTTGTCGTTAAAAAAAAACAATTAACAAAAGCAACTTCGATATCTTTATTTTATGCAATCTTCGCATGAAAAATGTGAGCATTTAGAGAGAAAAAAAAACATTTGTTACCATCAGCTTAAAATATAGCAAGCAGACAATCATTTTTAAGCATCAAGAGAGTGATGAAAAATCACAATCATTAAGTTACAATGTATAATACTTGACTATCAATTGTACCGTCCATAGTAAGGAGTGTTAAAATCTTTAGTCTGATCAAAGAGGGACAACTATATCTTATAAAATTGCAAAAGGCCAAAGTCATATGTAAAACAAAAAAATCCGCAGGAAACTTTACGCAATAGATGTCCGCAAAGTACAGTAACTGTTGTGTTTTAAATTATTACATTGTTAACTTAAAAATACCTTTAGTATTTTGTTGTTGTCTGCTTAAAATGCACGATTAGTAGCTTGCACTTGATTTTTTTTTTAAGATTGCGTGTTATATTATATACTGAGCAACAGTACAGATAACTTGAAATTTTTGTACTTATATATCGTAATTTTAAGATAAATAACTTGTATCGGATACATGTTTTACTGAACGTACAATGAAGCGCATTGAAGTGGTAAAATTCTCCGTTTGGATGAAAAGTTCTGAGTCATGTTTTGAAGGTCAATTATAACATAATGACACGCCCATGTTTTTAGAAACGAGAAAGTAATATTCGTCGTAGTTTTAGGACATCCCATTCTTCGCGTCAAGCATCATGAGTTACACTGAAATGGAGCTTTAAAAAAATTAGAAGAGGGAGTTAGAGACTCCCCGCTTCTGTTAAACACAAATTGCAACGAATATGTACATACTTTTGAACTTATCATGTCTATTGAAGTTACCACAACACATGTTTCGGTCGAACACGTGTTTACTCGGTGTTTATTTAGATCCTCAATTTGATTGGCTATTATATTTATGGAAAACCTGTTCTACAGGTATTTGAAGAAACAACTTGACCGTTTTATCAATTTCTAAAGAAATGGGCGTATCAAAAGATGACAATAAACACTCTAAATATAGCTCAAAACGTTCCATTCGAACGGAAAATTTTACCACTTCAATGCGCTTCATTGTAATCATCGCAATAGATATTATCTTTCTTTATGTAAAATACTTTGAAAAAAAATATTATTGAAAAATTCCTACACATTAATGGGCAGGAGCAAAATATCGTGTGACCTTTTTGCATTGATAAAAATAAGATCATATTTAATTAATTAAATATCTACAAAGTCAATGAAATATTTTCTTCTATCATGCTTTTTATGACATTCGTGCTGATTCGTTGACTGAATCGTTGTCTTTTTTAAAAATGAAAGAAAACGTCAGGTTCATTTACATGTATAAAGACTTAGAAACATTGAGCAAAATATACGACTGTGAGGTGAAAAAACAACGTAAGTTTTACCCAGAGTTCTTTAATATATTTTCATTTTTTGGCAATGTCTGTTGAGTGAGTAAAATTTGTTTTAAAAAATATGAATTGAAATCCATAATCAATATTCCTAGGATATGATAAGAAAATAGATTCTCCAACAAAAATATATACGAGGGCCGTTCAAAAATTACGCGGACTTGTTACACAGAAAAAAAAAATATATTTGATGACATAATCGGCCAAAATGTCACACATAATATAAAAGAATCTTTACTTATATGGTCTTCAAAAGAACAAAAGTCAGAAAGTACTACATGTGGCCTACGGAATTCTTAAAAAATAAATCATCGTTTTCATTATAACTATTTGTGGTTTCCCTATCTACTCGACTTTGTCAATGCAGGCGTGGGTAGTTTTAGTCAAACCGGATGTTGGCTATTTCATCATAACGGCTTAAACCTAGAACGTTTTGAGTTTTTCCGGAATTTTTCGCCGATTTTACAGATTCTTCTTCAAATTTCAAATGGGGCACATTCCTCTCGGAAAAAAAATCAAGTATAAAATCAATCATTGGTATCTTATGCGTATTTTTGAACATTTTTTTTCTCCGAGAGGAATGCGCCCCATGTTTAAAATTAATATTCATGAATGTCGTTTGGTAAGCTGGCGCATTCAGAAAGCAAAGTTACCTTATATAATTTCATGTTATTGAAACATCACATTGCAAGGATTTAATCTATCATTAGAAAAGTTACTGTAAATTATATAAACACAACCATAAATAGCTTTTATCAGAAATACATTATGTATACGTGGTAAATATTGGTAGGCTAAACAGATTTTTAACAGTCTATTAGTTTAAAATTAAAACATTTTTTTTTTTAAAAATGGAGAAATGTTTTCCCGTTAGTCTATATAATTATGCTTTCCACATTTGCATCTGTTCTGGATCATTGTTTAACAGGAGCCCTCAACAAAAGCCAGGTTATAACCGTTATAGGTCTATTTACTAATTTTTTTAATCAACATGTCATGTTCTAAATTTTGAATTTACCGGGTGGGAGTAAATACAAGATACAAGATATACAACAAATACAAGATAGGGTAAGAGCAGTATTTGGCCCCCAAGTTTGGATGTCTTTCAGAATAATCCAACAGTTTATGTATAAAAACCTGTTGTCACCCCTGCAACAAAATGAGCATTGGTTTTAAGATTTAGAATATACAGGGGCCAAAGTGAGGTCAGGAAATGGGTCAATTTCCGTCATTTCTCATTTGTAGGCAAATTTTCATCAATTTTACAGCACATTTTCTTTCGGGAAACATAGAGCACAAATCTCAGATAGGCAAACTTGTGCTCTATGTTTTCCGAAGAGAAATGTATCCCAAATATGATAAAATTTCACCAGAATTGAGGATATTCTAGAAAATGCCCTATTTCTGCGCCCTCTAGTGGCTTCCATGTAAGCTTTGCATCAAAATTAGTGCTTGTATTAAAGTGAGGATCATTTTAACTTCTGAACTACAATTTACACAATTCTACCATTGTTCTGGTTCTTATATCAAATAAGGGGCCAGAT